AAAAGTTGCAATAAACTACAAAGTAATTACATACGTAGAATGAAATATGTGAGATTATTTATAGATGAAGAGAAGGAATCATCTTTACATTCAAACATCTTTTAATCGCGTCATCATCTTAATGGCGGAATCGTCTGCCTTCTATCATCGGAAAAGTAAAAGATTTATTTTTCACAGCTTGTCGCGTCATCTGATTATAATGAACGATGCCATCCCACACATATATATATATATATAAATGACAATGAAATATGCCAATCTCTTAAAAACAGTGACATAAGAAATACGATGAAAAATTGTTGCCAAACCCATATTTCTAAAAGAATGAAGCTATTCAAAATGATGAGATTTCATCAAAAATCTATCAACAACAAAAAGATAAAAAACAAAATCTGAAATGTTTCAGATTTTAAATTTAGTCCAAAGGGGCGTTTTTTTAACATTTTGTGTGTTACCTTTCTTTATTAAATATCATGTTCCTCGCACTTAAACCATAAGATCCAGTGCAACAGCAATATCGCAAAATAGTTTTAAAACGAGCATATCTTTAGAATTTCCGATACAGAGACTCACGCGTTGGAGATAAAAATGTTTTTCTGCACAACGTTGCCATTGCTCGCTTTGAAATCCTTGAGTTTGTTAATCAAAAATTCGTCAAAGTTTTAAAAAATAGGAAATCGATCATAAAACAAATTTCAAATTTCAAATTTGGTCTTCCACATGCTCATATTTGTTGGAGGATTACGTTATTCAAAATTCGATGACTCTATGTACCGTTGTTTTATCACAATACGAGAAATATACATACATTTATGCAGATTTTTCATTATTTAATTTCTTCAAATATAATGCAGGACTCTAACATTTTGTGGCAACAGTTTGAAAAGTGAACCGACATTATTATTACGCAAAATGCCAAAACGAAACTAATAGTCCTTCGGGATTCAAATCCCTTTGGACTAATAAGACAGGAAAATTGTTGCCAAAATCACATTTTTAAAGATGTGAGATGTGAAAAGTGTACTCGGAAGCTTCATTTAAAAAATTTTTTAAAAATACAAAATATCATTATTTTTCCAAAATTCTTTTTCTAAAAGCAGTCGCAAGGATGAAAGTTTAACGTGTCCAAAAACCAGAGAAAAATAAACTGTATATTTTTTTAAATAAACGTTTTTAGTAAAATCCCTTTGAAAAGGTGTTAAGCTCCCTTTGTTAAATAAATTCGTATTTAATCGATTTATTGAAACACGAAATTTATTTTAAGTTCGTAAAATAGCTAAGTGCCTGCGTTTATGACGATGTGAAAATGGAGTGTGTAGAGTAAAATCTCGCTTTCCTATAGCCCATTATGTCTCAAAATGAAGCGAATTCGTCACAAAACATAAAATAAAAAAAATTATAATTCGAATTTCGAAAAATTCGCTTCGAGGTGCACTGGCTCTTGTCTAGATGCACCTATGTAACAAATTTCGTAGCTGTGCGTCTATTAGCTTACGCGCAGCGCGAACGAAAGACACGCACACACACACGCAGAGACAGACTCTTTTATTTTTACATGTAGAGATAAGGCTTATTTTATGGCTAGGTGGGCTGGCTGTTCTACTTCAGTTTACCAGGCCCTAGCAACAAGCTATACACTATGGACAGGGCCAAATGAAACTGTTAAAAGAGTGAAACCCCTTCTTTACAAAGTTTAAATTACCAGATGGTAGTATGCGACATTTTCATGCAAACAAGATAAGAAAATTCCCCATTCGAGCACAAACAGTGAGAGTAATTTTTGAGGATGATTCTGTGTTTGGAGAAATTCATCCGATGCTAAATAAACTGGACTATGTAGCAACCAAAATTGACATCGAGGTGTATATTTTTCGTTTAGAAGATAATAAAGAAAAGGAGTTGCACGAGTTGTTACATCGCTTTGCTCTCCGGTATAGTCCAGATAGCCAATGTTGGTGAACAAAAAATTCGTTTTTTACCCTGGAGCTGAAAGAAAAAAACTATACATTTATAATATCCCTGAATCTTTAAAACCTAAAACAGATAAACAGACCATAGAATTAGAGAACTTGGGTCGTATTGAGCCAAGGAAAGCTGAAATAACATACCCATTTATAATAAGAAAGTTGGACGTATGCGTTTATGAATAAACTTCGCATTGTTGAATCTAGTGACCAAGTCCGTTGATTTTCCAATGGATAATATGACTTATTTAATTAATCATATTGGACGAGCGAAATATTATTGCTTACTTAGATGTTTTAGAGTGTTACTAAACGATGCCTCTAGAATAACAGATTCGTGATTTATCGCCATTCATTGATTTATCGTATTGAGGACAATGTGTCTGTTTTCAATACCTTTGGAAGATGATATGTTTCGGAATGAAAATTGCTGCTGTTTTGTGATCTCGAATTTACTGTGAATGTCAAAAAATGTGTTTTTGCACTTTCAGAGATAAAAAGAAAAAAAAACTTCGGATTTATAATAGGAGCAGGAAGACATGAACATGAGCAATCGAAATTACGGAAAGTCCTAAAACTCAGACTGCTCTAAAATGTATGTTATATATGACCGTAACGTCAGATCCGAAGAAACCGTACACTGTCCAGTGGGGCGCTAGTTCTGTTGAGTTGGTGCTTGTTTATCACAGAGAGACGATAAAGTCAATTTGCGTCCCGTCAGCTTTACCAACCAAAAATTTTCAAAAACTCATCAGAACTGGTCGACTCTTGAATATGAGTCTTATGGCGTTGTGTGCTCATTAAGAAATTCGAGGGTTGGATATTTGGGTTAAATATCGGACTGATCGACACTAATCATAACCCATTACTGTACGTGTAAAGATACGCATCGAATACTGCAGAATTATATAAATGGGCAATTAACTTCAGCGTTACAATATTCATATTTCGCATTGCTCTGGTGCACAATTAAAAACTGCTGATAGTTATGCACGACGACGAGTTGGTGAATGAATTGCATATGAACCAAATGTGAACTGATAAAACTTAAAAATTAGCATTAATTGTTTTTCTTTTCTACCGGAATTGTACGAGAACTAATTTCCTTATATTTTGAAAATTTGGTGTTTCCTATTTAATGTTGCCCACCAGCGGCCGAGCGGTAAAGTCGCTGACACTGGTAGTTCGGTTCGAGGTTCGAATCCCGCGAACGGGCTGGCTGCATGGGTGATTTCGGGGGGTTTCCCCATGAGTAACGTGTATACAAGCCAGTTTCCCTTAGAAAGTCCTCCACGAAGGCATCCCTCCCCTTAGGCAGATAGCCCTAGTGTGCTTTGCCATAATTAAATACACCACACCACACCACCTATTTAATGTTTTACTTTATTATTGTATTGGGTTTTTTGAATATGATTTCAGGTATATGTTATATGTTTAGTAGAAATCCGGTATTGGAAAATAGCATCTATTCATCTATTGAGAAATGAATGATTATTGCCCGTATCGCAAAATTTGCATAATGTATGGATCGCGTATATTTTGATTTTGTTTAGCTGAAAGAATTAATAAGATGATAAGCAAATATAATTGCAGGAGTATTCATATACCGTTTATGTACATAATTTGTTTGCATTAGTATTAGAAAATCTGAATGTAAATTGTGTTGTGTTATTAAGTATTATTTTTATGAAGTATTATCATGTAAATTTGTGAACTCAATTGCTAGTTCATTTGTCAGAGGATGAGAACAGGCCATGGGAGAATAGGAATTTGAGAATGATTACGAATACAAGTGTGAGAGTTTGGCCTGCGATCCACTGCCTTGCCAACTAAAACAAAATCTGTTGGTGGCTTCAAAGCTGGTCTTGCTGTGAATATTGTTGACAGAAGCCAAATGCAGAGTTGATTAAATCTACATTTGGTCTCAGTCATGTGTTTGAATTTCTGTCGGGGTCTATATTAAGCTTGTAGTCTCTGCCCGGGTTAGAGAAAAATTATTGAATTTGTAGAGTCATTAGGATTTTTAGATGCTAGAGACGTGAAAAATGAGCAATGCCTTTTCCAGCATTCGAACCTAGACTGCTGAAATACGAGCCGAGTGTGCTACCGTTACACCACGAAGGTATACTGGCAGGAGGGAAAAAATACCTTATATACTCCCACTTTTAAAGCGCGAAGGGGGATTAGCGAACTAAGTCGACAAATGCTGGTGGTGACGAATTATTATCCACTACCTTTTTAGTTCGGGCGCCATTTGTAGAGTCATTAGGATATTTTGATGCTGGAGACTTGAAAAATGAGTAATGCCTTCGCTGAGATTCGAACCTGGACGTCTCGAATACGCGCCGAGTGTGCTACCGTTACACCACGAAGGTATGCTGAAAGGAGGGAGAAAATGCCTTATAAATACATAGGAATTGCGAAAAAGCAAATTGTGCCGAACCCAGGTTCAGGTTGGTTGGTTTCATATTTTAATTTAATTGCTCACAAATGTTGAGGTATAGTATAAATGCAAAGTGCTTTAATTCTGTATCTGTTTGCTTGATAGATATTCTATCTGTTCCCTTGATAGATATTCCATCTGTTCCCTTGATAGATATTCTATCTGTTCCCTTGATAGATATTCTATCTGTATGCTTGATAGATATTCTGATGGTGATAATATACTTCATAGACACATATGTAGCCAGCTTACTTTTACTGAAATTGATCTTAGTTATTTGGAGCCCACAACAGACGTTATAACTACAGTATTTTTCTTTTTATACCACTTTACATTAAAAAAAGCAAGGAATCAACAAAGAAACTCTGAAGTTTTTTAAGAGTTTTAAATTTATTCAACCAGAAATATGAATTGGCAACAGCTGATATTATTTTAACATCAAAATAAAGCGAAATATTTTCATAATTTTTTGCATTTTAAAATATTTCCCACATTTTAAAAAGTGCATTAATCATTAATGATAAACTTCTTGTTGTTACACTGTTACGTAAAATTTTTAGATTCAAAACTTATATTTATTTATTCATTTTAAGGAAATTTTAAGCAGCAGCGTGTCTTTAGAAAAATCATTCGAATACAGCTTTCTGCACCAATGGCTCGGACGAGGACTGCTAACGAGGTGAGAGAAGCTATGTTGAATAACTACATTTTAAAGTTTAAAACTGAACTAATTTAACCATAGTCTATCCAGATATCAGGAAAATCTGAATGTTTGGTTTGCATTTTTTCCCGTAAGCCGTATTTATTTTAATGCAGGAGATTAAAGCTAATCAATGGCCAAGCGAGTAAGACTACTAAATACTGGCAATTTGACCTAAGTTTAAATTCAGATGAAAGAACTTGCTGAAAGGTATTTTTTTCGGGGGGGGGGTCTCATCCTCATGTTTGAAGGGAACACAAGCCATTGTTTCTTCAAAAGTCCTCTACAAAGACATGCCTTCGCACTGTGTGTGTTTTAGCTTAACCAACCAAACAAATAACAAATGATTAAATCTATTTTTTATTCCTATCATATTTGATCCCTGCGGAAAATTTGCAGTTAAAGAGATAATTAATTTTTTTAATAAAACAAAATACGCAATTTTTGGAAATGCAATAAAATTTCAATCAGCTCTAGATTAAATACTGGATACGGTGTCCTCCGGTTAATACGAAGATCACGGTAATACGATGGCATTTAAATACACACAGAAAAGCGGACTAACCCACATTGTAATTAACAGAAAAATGCTCTTAACAATTAATGCGAACTTCAAAGCGATTTAATGCGGAGGAGAATTTGGTTAGTTTGTGCAAATTAAATCAGCATTCAAAATAAAAAGAACACATTGTAAATTAAAAATAAAGTTAGAAATGGCGTAAAAAATAATATCGCAAAAGCGCTTGAGAACTATTACTGAGTTAAAAATGGTGTAAGAAAGTAGAATTTTTTTTTTTTTATCATAATTCAATTCAAAGATGTTGTTTGCTATCATGCTCTTTATCATTTACTTCAACTTGCCTTTTGCATTCTGTTAAAAGTTTTGCTTTATTAATAGTTTGTGACTATACTTTTTCCAGCGTTGGGCAATAAACAAACTTAATTTGCAACTCGGTTCTAAGAAGTCTGATGTAGATACCACTGGACTTCCTTGTACGGCCTATTAAAATTATACATATTTTTTGCTGCGCTTCATTTGAATTTATTTCTTCGAATTATTCTAACTTAATTAACCGAGCTTCCTTGAGCAAATTGAAAATGACACGAAAAATTGCAAATTTTGAAATTAAATACATCCGTCAATTTTTGTCGTACGAGAATCAAACTTCTTCTAATTTCATTTTTTCATAGCAAGTATAAAACTTTCCTTCATTAAGTATAGGAACCGGGAGACCGCATTAAATGTTAGATTGTGTTATTTGTCGATTTTTTTTTTTTTTTTTTTTTTTTTTTTTTTTTTTTTTTTTTTAAATTTTGGCATTACAAAACACGAATATTTTCGTCATTTAAAACACTTCTATAATTGGAAGTATATGACTACGACCAACGATTTCAAAATAAAGGTCAGGTAAGGGGCGAATAAATATATATAATAAATATGTTTGGATCAGCCGATTGCTGCAACAAAGGGTGGTGCACAACTACATGTTATAGCAGTCTCATACATGAAATTTCAACGCTTTACAATACAACTACATGTTATAGCAGTCTCATATATGAAATTTCAACGCTTTACAATCTATCGTTGAGTTAACCGAAAACGTCCGTAAAAAATCGTGCAAAGAGATTTGGGAACAGTCAAAATGGATATTTCTGTTGAAATATGATACTCGAAATTTTTTGCGATTTCAATACTGCCTTAAATTTTAACAAGAAAGTAATAAGTGAAATTAATTACCATTTATGTAGGCTATAGAACAAATGATATAATCGTGTATCTGCATAATGCAAAACTATATATATGTTTAACATACGGCCATTGCAGCCCAATCTGTGCATTGCACTCATTACTGTCAGTTATTTAAAACTTTCTTAAAGTACAAGCTGTATTTTATTTTATTTATTTACGATTTAAATTAACAAAAAAGTTTAAATCACACGAATAAATAAATTAATAAATGTTTATTTTTTTTCCTTGCTTAGAAAGGATATTGTCACCCAGATAATTATAATTATCGGTAATTGGATTCTGGATAAATTAGAGTTCTAATAATTTTTTATTTATTATACTGTGTTAAAAATACTTTTTAATGCATTTTGAGATTAAATTCTCACTTTCCGAAAACATGATTTTCCCCCCCCCAGCACTGGGTTAAAGTGGAAGTCGCGGAGAAGACTTCTAACTCCTTCTTTTCACTTCCGAATTTTGGAAGACTTTTTGCCTGTTTTTAACAATCATGCAACGGTTTTGGTTAAGAAGATACGAGCACAAGCCGACAAAGAATACATTGACATAATACCCTTAGTGATACTCTGCACTTTAGATATTATATGTGGTAAGTTCTTAGTATTATTTATTAATTTTCCAGTTTTGTGTACTTCATAGTAATATAACTCTATTACATCCAATACAGTTTCAGCGATTCTTGCTATAAATCAATATACAGGATGTCTATCATGGAGGTAGGTAGTAAGAAGGAGAGGCCCTAACCGGTTTTGCCCATACACTGCTTTGAAGCACTGGCGATCCCTTCGTGGTGACCAAAACATTCAGTGTCTTAACATTAAGATCAATGGGCTTTGAAACACGATCTGATGTAGATATTTTGTAATTACGTCGTAAATATACATATAAACGTACATATTTTCTTTTTATACAGTATTTCAGAGTCCTAAGAACAGACTCAGAACTGTTTAATTTGGATGAAGTATTTTTACAAGTTTTCGTTAATTACATTTGAAAAAACTTTTAAGGTACTAATTCGATTTTATTGGGGTAAGGATTACAAAAATTAAGATCAAAGTTTATTGTATTAGTAATATTAACATATGCATCATTTCTTTTCTGTTTTGAAATACATTAAATATTGGTTCTCATTTTCATGTATTTTCCCTGAATATTTCTGAAAGGAAAGGGAAAAAAAATATTTTTTTAATATTATTTAAAACTTGTAACTGAGTTATTGTAAAATGTAACGGAATAATTCTTTTGCTTATCAGAGTTTTTCCCCTAATTTCAACAATATATATTCTAAAAACTCTTCTTTTTTACTTCCTTAAGTAAGCATCTCATAGAATTTGCTTTACAATACCTTTTAACAGGTTGCTTTCCACCATGAACAATTCTTGCTTAAATAGTTTTATAAACGTATTTGTCAGCAAGATTTCAATTTATGTTTACAATTCACTGTTAAGGTTATTATATATTTAGATAATATTTATAATCGTCATAAATTTAAATGCATTTAATAATTAGATTTCTTCACAGTAATTTTCACAGGAATTAATGAATGAATAAATCCATGCATGCTTCTATATTTACATTTAGCCTTCAAGTTTCAAACTTTTGACTTAAGACACGTTTTAGAATACATTCATTATCAAATTCAAATCTTCTAGTAAATATATTTTGGTAGAGCACTCAATACCTGTTTTAGCGATTTTACCCAGTTTAATAATTTTCTGATAATATAATAAATAATAACTATCCATTTCACATTTAAACACTAACCGCATTGTCATCAGATCGCTATCTTGATTGTCTTGCTCTGTATAATATTGCTTCATTCGCCGAGTTCACAAATGTGTCCATGTTCTGTTCCACACATTTGTGTAGAACTGTACATAATTTTACACAAATGTGTGGTTACAAATCAAGGAAAGGTTAACTTATTGGCATATCTGTGTGTATATTTATTAATTTTGACGAGGACTGCAGCATTTGGTAGTAGTTTTAGTTTTTTAATTAACCCAAATAAATAAAAAGTGTAAACCCAAAGTGATTATTTTTCAATTATATAAAAATAAAATGATGAGTTTAAAATGAGCAATTATTAAGACCTCTCCTTTAAAATTTTTTAAAGAGTACATGTTACAGTAATACGTGGCTGACGAAAATCATTTATTTTATTACGAACATTTTGGCGTTTGGAACATAAAGTAAAAGTAGCAAAAACTCTGTCAAGGGTATCGAAAGACGTATACAATTTTAAACGTACGGTAAGGTATTTTTCCTTCTTTAAGCATAACATTTTTGCTAAAATCTATATTTTTGTAGTTCAACAGCTTAGAATTTTATAAAATAAATTCATAATCAATATCGCTGTTGTTAGTTATCGAAAAATAACCAACATGTAATTTTTGCGTAAATATCATTAAACTATACAAATTGCAATTATCCATCACACAATGAATGTTTCTTTTATACGGAAGTGTAACGTTTTTCGATTTGTAGGGAGCTGTCATGTGTCGAAATACTATCAAAGCGTTGTCAAAGGAGCTTCTGAATGTAAACAAGAAACACCCCATCTGGTGACCGAAGTCTCCGAGCAGAGCTTCACTTGTCGTGCGGAGTCTACCCCTCCTTCCTTTCTTACCTCCATAGTGTCTATAATTAAAGAACGCTATTTGAAAGCTGCCTACGAGCGAAACTATTGATGAGAAAATTGAGAAATTTTGCGGCAGACTTAATTAAGGAATGAGAATTTCTTTCAGCGAAAAAAAAAGTTACAAATAGTGTCACCAGAGGGCATTATATTAATAAATTATACATTTAGTCACACCTTTAAAATAGTTTTGCAATTTTACAAATTTTGTTACCAAAAACCAAGTTCCACATGATGGCCATCCTTTTCAGCTACCATTTGAAATCGCAAGATGGCATGTTCCACAGTTGACAGAAGTGTGTGCTGAGAAATGCTCAGCACGTAGCGTGAAACGCTGGCTTTAAGATCAGGTAAAGTTCTTAGACTGTCACGACTTACCAGATGTTTCAAATGTCCCCAAAGCCAAAATTCACATGAATTGAGATCTACTAGTCGGAGCGGCTACGCATTACGAAAGTGCCGGCTAATGACACATTGTTCTGTAAAATGATATTTAAGAACATTCGTAACACACCGTGCTATGTGAGGAGGAGCTCGTGCAAGACACTGACGGAACAATATCGTTGTCTAACCAGTGATGCATATCGTTGCCCGGTGATCGAGCACGTCACTGGACCTATGGAACTTAACTCGTCGAAGAAGTACGCGCTGAGAATAAATGACGCAGAAAATCCAGTTTTGAACATTATAAGCATCGGCATTGACCTGTCTAAAGTAACTGTCCCTACAGAAGTCTCAATCTTCTAGATATGCGGAAGCTCGTCTTAGAAAAGGTTCCTTGTATTACACCAAGGTTCGATAAATAAAGTGGGAAATGGGTGCATAATAAAAATTAAGATGCAAATTTAAGTGCAGGTGCATTTTCAAGCTAAAAATTATAAATTTCGAGATTAAACTTTTATGATATCCCATCGATACGCCATTACTGATGATACGTCAGTCAGATGTTTCCGATGTTAAGGATTCTCTGGAAGTGTACACATAAGCGGTGTCTACTGAAACCCAGTAGCAGAAACTCACGTGGATATACTAAAAGATTTACTTTTATAATTTACTATAATATTTTTTTTCCAATGGCAAATTGTGAACAATTACAAATGTAACCCAGTCCATTAATCTATACAAGGCCGGATGTGGTGGTCTCTTTATTATGGAGGTACCTAATAGGTGGGCCACCATCGCCTTTCCTATGAAGGGACGGACAGTTACAACCATGCTTTCTCCGGGATTCAAATCCAGGTCCTTCGGCATCGCAGTCAGCTTCCCTGACCACGATACCGACTGGGCGGCTTTATTATAATAATTGATGTTTTTATTTTCAGGGAAATTCCTTAGTATAGGCGGAAATTTCAGTTGGTATAATCCGTCAATGAAGGTAGACTCTTAGATAATATTGTGATAGATTTCATATAGTATTTGGCCAAGGAGTTAGCAGATCACTATTTTTGCATGCAATATACTGCAGTCATTCATACAAAGTGTGCACGCGGTTTTAATCCTGGGAAAATGAACGAAAATTTATTTAAAAAGAATAACTCTCCTCTTTTAAATTTTCTTCGCCTTTTCGGATGCATGGGATTTCATTTTATGAAGTTTTCAGGTTCGAAGAGCACTTTGTTCATCTATTAACATAACTTTAATAAATAAAAATATGATTTGTTTGCAGAATAAATGTTGATTATTGATTTTTATTTTAAGAAACGGTAATGGGTGTTCATATCGGAGCTCAGACTGGCGGCAATTCCGAGTACGTTAGAGCCGTTCACAAGTAAGTAAATTTTAACTTGCCTACAGTCTATTTTAACAAAAAAAAAAAAAAAAAAAAACTTGTTTGAATCTTCGTGTTTAGAAATTTATAATTTTTTTTAAACTAAGACGCCTGTATATAAGAAACCTTGAAGCGCCCGAAATCCTATCACGTAATGTGAAATTGCCAAGAGTTTATCTTGTTCAAGTGCAGGGTATCACGTTTTACTCTTTACTGCTACAGCTTTAAATATCTGCCAGAACATTAATAGTTCTGTATGAACTGATACTCGAAGAATCGTTAAAAGTTTCGTTTCTATGATCTCTCTCCATATAGGAAAAAAAAATTGCAGTGAATCCAGTCTGAGACGATCACTCCTAATTCCAAGTGGTTTTTGACCTTAGCTCTTTCAGTACCAAAGTCCCAGTAGATGTTTAAAGAAACCTAAAGGGAATTAGATGCATCAATTTGTTACGTTGTAGAGACATTAGGTTAAATGCTAGCAGGAAAGATGAAAAATTCGCAACCGCCTTCACAGGGAATCGAACCACGGTTCTCTGGAATACCGGCCCAGCGTGCAGAACCACTGCTCCATGAAGGCACGCTAGGAAGGCGGGAGAAATACCTTATAACGTAGTTGATGTCTTACTGGTAGTAGGCCCGCATCTTCTTATAGATTCTTATAGAGGCTTAGTGAATTTGTTTATTATAAGGCAAGCATGTGCTACGCCTTTACGTTTACACAAAAAAATTGGAACTAAAAGGGTTCAAGTCTCAGAAATGCTGTCTTCTTAGAGAAATAATTGCTTCAACAGAATTCAATGAACTTAAAATTGTCGCAACAGCTTTCTGTGCAATAGACGAAACACAAAATAAAAGTCCTGTCACTGGAGATCAATAATTTATTTCCAAACAAGTGCCTGCTATAAAGCTTTGAAACTCAACACGAGATACCCAATGAAGGCTCTTATAGTCACTAGCCCGGAAAGTTATTAGTATTTCTAAAAATGCTAATGAATATCGGTATTTAACAACCTTTCTAAGACGGCTACTTCGGAAAAGACCAAAATTATGTGGAACTGTGGATGGTCGTCAAGGAGGTTTTACTGCATTCGTGCAGCAGTATGATACAACATTATTCCTAGTGAGTGAGTGAGTGCACCGCTATGATGGCTTCCGACCACGGACATGAACCAAACGGAATTATATACCATCACGGCGGGAAAGACTCTAGAGTAACAAGGTTGAATATTATAAACTAATAATAGTTTTTACATATTGTTAACTGCAAGGCACTAAGCGTTATTATGGTTATCTGCTTTAAGTTCTGAACTTTTGAAACATTATAATATTATCCACGGTTGTTTCTGCTTAGGCAGTGTTCTGAGATTTTCTCTATTTTATTAAGGGCTAGCTATTCTGTTTTTGAGTGTGTTAGTCGTCCACATTGCCCAGGCACAGTCCGCTGGTTTCTTCAAGTGCCAGGTTCTTGTATGTACACAATGGAAGTAATAATGGTCCGTGTCGCCTTCCTCTCCGCATTCGCAGAAAGGAGTATCCCTAAGTCTGAATCTGTTCAGGTATACTGGGAATGGTCTATGACCTGTCAAGAACTGTGTTAGGCTAGCACAGTGGGTCTTTATTTCCATGTTAACTTTTGGCAGTAAGCGAAATACATTATTCCTAGTAATGCAATATAGCGAACACTCTCTCAGACGTTCACCTACGGTTCCAGATGATTTGGATTTCCTCTGAAAGTATTCCTTTCAGAAAGGTGACGTTCAATACAGATGTTTATTTATGTTTTCAAAAAGATGATCGTCTCAGGCGACGTTTCTCAGATTTTCCTCATCACAGAGCACTTTTAAAGTTCTAAACTTTTTAAGGAATACTAGTTAAATCTGACTGTTTCATTATTATAAATGATAACACAAATATATTAGATTAACAAAATTAACATTTAATCTAATTTTCACCTCATAACTATAAAACAAACGTTTTACAATTTTTAATTATACAAAAAATTGGCACATAAAACTAAATAAATTTTATGTGGTGTAAGTGCGAAGAAAGCAATGTTTAATAATAAAAAGACGAAAAAATTATGCTCTCAGAGGTCAGTGCAAGAGCAGTTAGGTAACTGCGAGCTCAGTAAGAGAAAACATTAATAAAGAAACTTTTATAAAACCTCTGGTACGGCATTAAAATCTGCATCCTTTCAGATTTTTAGTCCAAAGGGGCTTTGTTCCTGAAGGACTATTGTTTGCGTTTTGCGGTTTTGCGTTGAATCACTATAAATGTCCGTTTCACGTTTCAAACTGCTGCCACCAAATGTTAGAGTCCTACATTATATTTGAAGAAATTAAATAATGAAAAATCTGCATAAATGTATATATATTTCTCGCATTGTGATAAAACAACGGTACATAGAGACATCGAATTTTGAATGAGGTAATCCACCTACGAATATGGGCATGTGGAAGACCAAATTTGAAATTTGTTTTATGATCGATTTCATATTTTGTAAAACTTTAACGAATTTTTGATTAACAAACTCAAGGATTTCAAAGGGAGCAATGGCAACAGTCTACGGGAAAAAAAACCTTTTTATCTCCAGCGCGCGGAACAGTGTATCGAAAATACTAAAGATAGGCTCATTTTAAAATTATTTTGTGACCATTGCTATTGAACTGAATTTTATGGTTTAAGTGCAAAGAACATGATATTTAATAAGTAAAGGTAACACTCAAAACGTTAAAAAAAACACCCCTTTGGACGTAATTTAAAATCTGAAACCTTTCAGATTTTTTATGCTGTATCATTGTTGTTTCTAAGCATACTTCTGTTATAAAATTTGCATACTTTTAACTAGTGCCAGTTTATACAAAATATAGGAACTTTCTGTTGCATTTGTACCTATTTGAAAAATGTACTTCGTAAAACCCTTCATTTAGGCCCACCGTTGCTTTTGAACCCATCTGTACAAACGTTGGTGTACTTTCTCCAATCAAATTTGTTTTCATAATTATTAATAATTAAATGCATCTTCTCTAGTTGCCCTTTTTTACAGATATTCACCAAAAGAGTAAATCCTTCTCAGTGTTGTTGCTATACATATAACACACAAGTACCAGTAAAAAAAACAGTTCTAGGATATCTTGCATTTGTGTCATGCAATAAAACAAATTTATTGCAAAGCTTAAATCGATTAATTAACTATGTCTGTATATCGGTGGAAAGATCAGCTGGGAGGCCCGAAGAAGTGTACTAGATGATTATAACGAATCAATTCTTTTAGCGGACGATTCACTAAATATGCAGGACACAATTGTTTTCACACCAGTGCCTCCAATCACATGAACCACCATTACGTGAAATGCGGTAGCTCAAGTGGCTGGATGCTACTGTTGCCATTTCGTTTCTTGCTTTAATAGCTTTTATAGTTTGAAGTGAAATTTTTCTAGGGTCTTAAGTCGTCTTCTAAAGAAATGTGTAATTTTTCCTCTGTAATCATGGTGCTTCATTTCGAAGGCCTATGAAATTTAGGTGGAGATAAAGAAATGTTAACTAGAATTTTATTACATGGAGGAAAAAAAACCCTCTTGTCACATTTTTGTTTGGGAACGTTCTACGACGGTATCAATTTTTGGATGGGACCGTACTTTCTTCTCCAATCGCATATGCATCAGAAGAAGTACTTGCTTCTCTTTCTTACAAAATTCCCATTTTTAACCAAGAATCTATATTTTAGAACTAAAATGGACGCAAAAAAAATCGGTAATAATAGCAGAAAGAAAAAACAAGAGGAAATAGGCTATTTTTATATTAAACATTTTTTTTTAATGATTGTGCAGTGTTGGTTAGAAAAGACAGGCGAAAACAGAAGAATAAACTTACATAACTAGAAAAGACTACAGTAGCAAAATTTTTGAACGTGGTATATGTTAAAATTTATTTAGGTAATTTTTAATCATATGGAGAAACTTCACTATTTCTGAAAACTCATCACATTATTGACCTGAAACACTCACTTAGCAAAGGAAACGAATTTATTTACACATATGAAAGGTATTTAAAAGGCCCGGGTTCGAATCACTTTACGTCATAAGGGCACTCTAAATATATAGTGAGTTGAAAGTCCTCTCATGTGGATTGGTGCTAGGGGAGAAGGGTGGGAGACTCTCGGACCAAGCCCCCTCCCGGTGTGCTCTCCCTCAAAATTGGAGTAGAAATAGAAGTCCAACCTTCTTGAGGCTCTGGCAACCATTCTTTCATGAAATTCATTAACAAGACAACAACAACAATGAAAGAACTTGAAAAAAGAGTGAGAGGAATAATCGTACTCATCATTCCGCGGTAGCATTCGTCCTCATCTCTCCCATTTAACAGCTCACTCATCTAAGTATTATAGCTACAAAATTCAGTTACAGTTGCATTACCATTTCCGGCATAATTCGGCCATTCTACATCGTCTTATGCCCTCAGAAGACATACACAAATAGTGAAATGTAACATATTAAATACACAACTAAAAATACTTATAATATTAAACAATACAATTTAAACGATAAAAATGCTACAGAAAAATGAAAATAGAACTGAATGAGGAAATATATTCTAGAAACAGCACCTAGAAAAATAAAAAGAAAAGTCAGTAATCATTATCAAAAAAAAATTGGTTTTGTTAAAAGTCTGAAGGCGTTGATCAGTTCACGTGAAAAACTGTCTATTAAACACTGAAGTCCAGGGTTTTCATAAATTCGGCACAAAGGCTTGTTTTCATAGGTCCGTCGAAGAAATCACATTTTTCGGCATCATAAGTATTATTCGGCTTGATTTTCACGATTTTGCATGGTCTGAGAAATTTGGATTTGAGCATACTTTCCAACATATTATTTACATGTATTTGAGCATACTTCAAACTATACCATATTGTCCACGCTTGATTGCCACAACGCCATGATGCTGGAATTAAAGAGATAGTTTGCGTCTTGTAGGTCTTGCGATTTTAAGTTTGTACTTTAAAACCCTCTTTTCCTTTAGCTTTCTTTCCAAGATCATAACTAACGTTGAACGGAATCTAACAGGATTTGGGCATTTAGCAGTTCTGTAATATTGCAATGCTCAGAAGATATCATTTTAGTACCAAAAATGAGTTCGAATAAAGTTGTATTCATACTCCTTGAATAAGTGGAATTAATCGCTGAACTTTGCCAACATGTATAGACCGTTTTGTCACTTCTCAATGCATAAAAATTATGAAAAAGGACAAATATTATGATAGAATTTAATTTCTAAATTTTTCATTTGGCACGAGGTAGTCCAGAGCAATTAGGATATACTGGATATTGTTTTTAAACAAGAATCCTGAAAATCTATAGAGATAAATGCTGAACCTTTACAAGATATTATACCGAAGGTTTTCCAAAGACAAATTTTTGATTTTCCAAATTAGATGCTACTTCGGTGCTCTTAACAGACTCTGCAGCACCGAAGTAATAAGTGCAAGTTACTTCTGTGCCTATTTGTTGGGTAAAGTCGTATAAATTTTGTGAAAGGTTCAATAACAGCAAATATATATACTTGTAATTTTTATGATTACTTGCATGTCGTCACCAGTGTTCTACCAAATTTAGTGGCATTTGATCTAATAGATCAAGTAATAGATGCCTCTCAGTATTGTCAATTTAAACACAAAACAGACAGTGCTTCGTTGTTCACTAACTTTAATTTCATAATTTTTCACAAAACACCTTAGTGACTGTTTGTGAAACATCAGTGTCTCGCTGAAAGTAGTTTGGGAAACGCTAGCGGAACAATGAGTTCGCCATGAGAGATTTACTGCATTTTAGTGCTACTCAAAATTCATAAGATTGCTAATAAACTATTATCTTCTTTTAGTCTCAAACTGTTACATTGTTATATAAAAACATCTCAATGTTGTAGCTATATCCCTGAAATGTTAGCGCTTAAAAATAATCGATGGAAGAGCAATAATACTTCGGAAGGTGATGCTGCCAAGTGGACACGGAACTATTTTCTGCTTAGCATAACTCATTTTACGCTTCATAAAGTTATGAAACTTTTATATGAAATAGAATAATGCCGATTATATGAAATTTGAGAAACTGCCCCAGAAAGCTTTATCAGGACTTGTATTCCTCTTTACTTGCTTTGGAAACATGAACTGTCCTGACTCGGAACAGGAAGCTTACTCAAGCTATGTTCAATAATTTGTGAAGTAGACAATACACACAGGAAGGGTATACAAAACCCTTTATTTTTCTATCTTTACAGCGATTTCCGGAACTTCGGAATACAGAGACCAACCACTTGTGGTCTGAACGTAAGAATATAAAAATATTAACTAAAACTCTAACTAAACTAACTTTGGATTAATATACAAGTGCCTAACTTTAAGATTGGCCGTTATTTAACAAAATCCGTATGTAGTACAGAGAGCTGCTAAAACTACGATACGTTTGAGATTATCAAGAGGACTAAACCTCTGGCCTTGAAGGCAACCAGCAAACGAGTAAAACTACTATGGCCAGCGGCCTGCTTCTAATAACTCCTTCCTCTCTCTTGCTTGGCAAAAAGCCACAACTTAAGTACTTGGCGTTAGCAAGACAAATTTGCATAAATAAGTTAAAGCTTTTAATTCTGGCCGGAAGTAGAAAATAAGAAGTGATAGTAAAGATTTAAAACAAAATAAACGTTAGTAAAACTTAGGATCCTTACAGCTTCATTCAATGGCAAGAAAAGATGTACTCATTTAGTCTGGTTTAATGCCAGATTCAAACGTCTGTCTGCTTACTGAACATAATGCTCCAATAAATATTTCAAATTACCTTGAATGTAAACTTAATGTCATGTACGCATTCTTTGTTGGTATGAGGTATGACAAAACTACTTGCATAAACTAATGTTTTCCACAATATTAAGATATTTTAGAAATAATGATAAAATTATTTTGGGGCAATGCATAAAAACGAACGTAAAGATATTCGAGAAATAAAAACGCTTGTAAAAAAGCGAACCTTAGTTTTTTTCCCTTAATTAAAAAATGAGAGCACTTTTTAAATATTTTCAAGATTGAAAATATGAGAAAAATATGTTTATCAGCTTAGGTCACATATTCAATCTGAGAACAGTTAGTCCATTACTTTGGTCAGACTTCACATTCGGATTATCTCGGACTGGGCGACAGTTCGCCAAAGACTTGGAAATAATGCATGGATTCACCAAAAAGGTAAGTAGTGCTTACGTTCAATTTGTTAGAAATAGTAATTGTATTTGTGAACTTAATATAAAAAATAGTTTGTTTTAAATTAAAAACGAATCTCGTACGTGAAAATTTAGACTAAAAAACTAAATGAATTGTTTAGGAAGGTATTTAAAATATAACATCAAAAACAAATTTTATCACTTAAAATACAAGTATCAATGTTCATAAAAATTATAAATTTGATATAATGCACGTTAGTTCAATTAAATCTGTACGAATGCACGTTAATTCAATTAAATCTGTATGAGTTAATCAATTAAATCTGTACGAGTTAATCAATTAAATTTGTATTGTAGTGATTTAATTCAATTAAATCATTTAATTCAATTAAGAGATTCATTTAATTCAATTCAAAAGAGAGCATTTATTTCAATTAAATCACTACAGTGCGAGTTAGATATTCTCTCCAGCTGCAAACTTTTACCCTGCAAACCTTTAAAGTACATTCAAGCTTATTGATATATAAGGTATTTCTCCCGCCTTCTTAGCGCGCCTTTGTGGTGTAGTGGTCTGCATGCTGTGTGCGTATTCCAGAGTTCCGTGGTTCAATTCCCGGGGAAAGGCGTTGCTCCTTTTTCATCTTCCCTGGATATAGTTGTTTTTATGCAGTTTAATTGCCTAACATATATTTATTTAGAAAGGATTTTTTTAATATTATTTATTTTTAAATGATTAAAATTTTCGGAATTTTTCTGATATACTGGTAAAAAGTACATATGTCTCCTTCCATGAACTATTGTATACGTTGTAAGGTATATCCTAATTTTATAATAATTATTTTAAGTTTATACGACTTTTCTATCTCTTTCTCGCTTCAGCTTACAATTCCTTACCAGAATGAGTTTTTAGAATCGCGTTAAATGCAAATGAGAAGCAGAGTAGTATTTAAGTTCCATTGACTTCGAGAGAGAGAATTAGGATTCCTGAATAGCGCGCATTTGCCTTTTGCCTACGTCTTCTCTAACTGTTACTACGCTCGGCCTTATTACAGGCCTTTTGATAGCTTCGCTAGCTAATTTAATATTACGGGCCAACTAGTTTAGAATTTGTGTTACCTTCGGCTAAGTCTCTTTAGTTGGTGATTAGTTAGTTCTTATTTTGTAAGCCAAAGCGAAAGCTTTGTTGTACATCCTGAGAAAGGGGCCATCTGTGAATCTTTATTTTGACCAATAAAGAGTAATTAACCCTTCTTGAGTTTACGTTTCTGTTCTTGGACTTAAGCGATAATTCGCTTAGTAGTTCACTAGGTTCCTAAACACTTAGTTAATATCTAAAAGAGAGCATTTTACAAGCATTTTTTTTATGTGATGATAATACAAAATATTTCTAGCTTCACTAATATACCTTTATAAAAACATTGAGTTTTGTTCCATTGAGAAATGAACCTGATTCTAACAGAATAATTTTTAGTTTTGTTTGACGCACTATGAAGTTAAGAAAGTGGATGTGGGAATAAATTTTCCAAGCACTTGAAGCACGTAGTATGAACGGATTAACGACCTTGGAATCCCCTTTTTCGAATAACGAAAATACAGAACAGCCACATAGGACTTCTGACTCGCTTCTCTGAAACAGTGTAACTGTAAAAGATCATTCCTGTCCCTTTTCCCAGCACCTGCAAACTGATGTCTTGATTTCAAAACTAGAAAATGAGCTAATTCAGCAGACCAGCTTTGCCAATTCTTTATGTGATTTTCTGGTATTTCAGTGTCCCATGCTATTTTTTGTTCCCATAAATCTTGCAATAAAATCTTAGCTTGAATTGTGTATGGATTTAAAAACCCCAATGAATCAAAGGAACGTCCTAGAAATCTCAAAATTTCTCTTTTAGTTGGTATGATATTTATCCTTTTGGCATCTTTTACCAAATCTTCAATTTCTATCAAAAATGTATCATTTGACTTATTCCATGTATACCCCAATACTTTAGAATAAGTCTAATCTTGCGCAAGATCTTCTTCATTCCATACCTTTTGTAAATTTATTTCATTCGTTTTCCATTTTCGCATGTTAAATTCATTTTCTTTCAGTATGCGTTTAATATGTTCCGATTCCTCGAATGCTTCTGATTCTTCATCTGCTCCAGAGATTAAGTCGTCAACATACATATTTTCAGTCAGCATGGAAAATGCGTTTAGATACTGTGGCTTGTACTTCTCAGCGTGTACATTAACAGTTGTTCTAAGAAGAAACGGACTAGATGTTGCTTCAAAAATTACCATTATCATACAAAGAGCCTTCATTTGGGTTCCATATAATTCACCATCGTTCTTAGAAACTTAGACCATAGAACACAGAAACTAGATTCCAGGGAAGGCGAACAATATAACGATTGTTTTCGAATTTCACAGACTTTTGAAATTCTCGAAAACTGAATTATCTTCTAATTTGTGCTCCTTAACCGAATCGTAATTTATCCCCATAGATTCGAGCTCCCACAGATTCTTTAACAAACTAGATACTGATTCGTTCTGTTTATCTTCATTATTATATGAACCACAACCTTCATAGTTTTCACATTAGGTGATGAAACTCAGTAAGCCCTTTCTGTTCACCAATGGTCCAACCTAATTTTGTTTTACCTTGATTAATTAGTTGAAATGAAAATAATACTAATAATAATATTGTGGCGCCACAACGTGGGTCCACTGGGTTGAATTTTAATTAAAATTTAAGAGATTTTGCATTTGAGAGAGCAAAAATGGATCTAGAAAAATTTAAAAAGAAACAATCTGCAATAAGAGCACACAGAAATTGCCAATGAGGGGGATAAATGTGTAGTTGAAAAAACGATTGATCAGTTAATTAGTAAAAAAGAAGAACTTATATTAGCGGATAAAGATATTGAAACTTTAATTGATGTAAATAATTCAGAAGATGAAATAATTTCTACAGAAGAGTATAAAGGTAGAATTATTGTTTGGAAATTACGCGCGGAGAGATATTCAGATAATAATCCACATAGCGCTAATTCTGCTTCGTATGGAACTTCACTGAATCGCAAAACAAAACTGAACTCCCAAAATTGGCCTTGGAAATATATTCGAGAAACGATGTGTGCAGCTGGCCCGGGTTTTGCGCACGATTTGAGATAGCTGTCCACAAAAACGAAAGTCTGCATGCAGTAAATAAAATTAATTATTTAAAGTCAGTTCTTACTTCCTATGCAGAAACTGCAATACAAGCAGCATTAACAGCAGAAAATTACGAGAAGACTGTGAAAATATTAAAAGATCGCTTTGGATGCAAGGAACTAATAATAGATTCCCATATGAATAATTTGTTAACTCTGACTCCGGTTAAAAGATCTTGCGATGTGACAGCACTTCGAAAATTATATGACCGTTGTGAAGTACAAATTAGAGGATTAGAATAGTGTAATATTTTACCAGATTCGTATAGAACTTTATTGTATCCGATATTAATAAAGGAGATTCCGAATGATTTAGCTTTAGAATTTAATAGGAAGATGCTAATCAGACAAAAATTACTAATTTGCTAAATTTTCTAAGAAAGAAAATAGAAAGTCGAGAGCGTACCGCATTTTTAATTACGACAACAAATTCTGAAATTACTGAAAGAAAATAAGCGGCAGTTTCGAGAACGCTTTCGAGACAACGAAAGAAATCGGGATTACAATAAGAGTATAATTTCTTCAACGGCAGCGTTAAACATATGTCTTTCCAATAGCTGTTTATTCTGTTCTGAAAATCCTACTTTAGAATCATGTCCAAAAATGGTTCCAGTAAAAAGGGAAGAGTTAAAGCGAAGCGGGAATTGTTTTGTGTAGTGTTATTTTCAGTTCAACTAATTAATCATGGTAAAACATAAGATGCTTACCTTGTTCCAAATGGTTCGTGCCAGAGCCACTGGTTGATCCTCCTTCTCTATATGCAATCCTATTAATCCAGTCTGCAATCGTAGATCTTTGCACAAAATATTTTGAATACGTCGAAATGGTTATTTATATCAGAAAATATATAAAAAAGGTTTAAATTTCTGGCACGACGCAGCGTGCAACTTTTCCCTTCAGAGTTCTCGAACGATCTGTGCCCGTGAGTTCACAGCTCGTAATGAAGTCACACGGCAACATGGGACAGCAACAGCCATTGGGCAAACAAACAGAACAAGCTCTCACCTTGCCATCCCTTCCTGGAAAGATTCCCATAATGATATCTATCTTCCACCTCAACCTTGGAATTTTATCTTCACGGACCTTTTTTTCAAATAGGTGTCGGTTTTTGTTAGTTTGGACGGAAAATCAGATTTTAAGTTCATCAAATAATCCTGTCTCCACCTTTTCCAGATTCTCTGTACCAGTTTTTGTAGGTGTTTAAGTCGACGTGTAAGACTCTCCTTTGTTGAAGTTAATTTAGAGCTTCCCTGCGACAATGATAGTAACCGTCTTCCTATTAAGAAGTGATCAGGGATCAAAGATTCTGGCTGTCCTAGATCCGAGTATATAAATGTTAAAGGTCTGGAACTATTATGACTGTATCTAATTCCCTGTATGTCAAGGATGATTTGCCCAGCATTCTCTTTAGAAGAGTTTTCAGAAACGCTCCCAAAAGCCTCCCCACCAGGCCGCCCTCTCAATTATAAATTTCTATTTGATTCCTTGTTTAGAGAACTCGTCTTGAACTTTATTATTTTTTATCACCTGGTTCTTACTCTAATTTTTTTTCGCTCTTTTAAAGATTTTGGCATTATCTGCGTACACTATTCGGCACAAACCTCTTCTCGCTACGAACCATCTAAATGCAAGCAAAAATTTTTCTGTTAAAAGGTCAGCTGTAAATTCTAATGCATGGCTCTAGTTAATCACAGGTAAACAGTAAAACGTATGTCTTAGATCATTCTCTTCAATTTTTGGATCCGTGTAATCTATCCCGGAGTTTTCAAACGGGAAGGCTTCTCGACATCTGTCTAGTGAGAGGGGTGTTATATCTTGCATGACAGGTTTC